TTTCTTTGAACGTTTGTAAAGATGATTTTTCCCCATGACTCAAAAAATTTAACCTTTTTTACTAAGGACATTGAAATTTTTTCATGAACCAATTTGTCATTGATAAATTACTATTTTTAGTTTCATTCTTATCTTGTATTTGAATTTTGATCATTATTTTTTTAATTTTTTATATAATTTTTTTTATAATTTTACCCTTTAATAATTAATTAATTAGTAATTAGACTTCATGTTTTTTTCAAATAAAATATTTCGAATATAATGATCCTGATTATGAATTTTAAAAGTTAACAAGAATATATATTTGAAAAAAGCTTTATAATTTTTTTATTTTTTATGAAATTATTTTAATTTTATAATCTGAATTATAAGTTTGGCGAGATATCCTAAGTTGGCTCGGTCATAAATACAAGGTTACAGGTTTGATACTAACTTGGGCTAACCAAAACTGAATTTTTTATGTTCTTTTTAATTTTATTTTGTTCTTCCATAGTTAATGGGTTGTTAATTGATTGATATCATTTGTATTCTTTTGAAAAAAAATCTTTTTCTTAGGTTATTTGTTTTTTTAAAAAAAATTGATCCATCTATTATTATTTTTTATTTTTTTCATCTAATATAATTAAAATCAGCTTATTTAATCTAATCAAGTTCATGACTTGAGTTACATAGTTATTTTTATAAAAAAAACATGCTTACGACAATTAAACATGATTTTTTACATAAAATTAGTCTCACACAAAACAAAGCATGACCACCTAGTTCAATTCATACCTATTTGATCATTAATAACTTAAAAAGTTACATCCCAGAGTAAAAAAAAAAATAACAATTACTAATTTTCTTAATTTTTTTACCAGCACTAAAAAATAAAGAAAATTAATTTAATCTTGATTAATGTAACAAACTGGTTAAAAAATACTCATGATTAAGCTGGATTTTAACGGAAACAAAAAAGTTGAATGATGATGGATTCATTTTATCATCACATTAATAATATAATAGCTTTATTCGGTTTGCATATCTTCACTATATACAATAAAACAAACAGTATTATATGGTTTAATTTATTCTTATATCGTTATTTTAAACTGGATAAAACAAAAGAACTGGGAATAACTCTGGTTGAGGCGAGGAGAGGCGAGGAAGAGAGCTTTTAAAACATCAGATGCATGTGCAAGGTTGATTCTCTTTACTGTATATGCCATCATGAACAAGCTGCATGCATTCATGAAAGTTGCTCTATATTTTATCTCGCAAGATAACCTTTCCAGCCAATAAAGATGTTTGAATTTATTTATTTTTTATTCCCAAACCTTTTGAATATTAAGTTCTCTTTTCATCTAAAAAGTGCAAGTAATAATTTATTTTTATTAGCCTTGCAAATTTATATTATTGAATTAAAAAAAAAAAAAACAATGTGGAGATGGGATCTGGGCCCTCGCCCTTCAGCATCAGATCCATAGATAGAGTGTTCAATCTATAACTGTTTTGGACCCCATCTAGATTGTTCCAATTAATATCATGGAGTCTGAATCTCAAGATTAAAGTGATGACGTGATAGCAAGTCTTCCACGAAGCTGCATGGAGGCATAGTTATTTAATCTGTTTTTTTTTTAAGGTAATGTTTGAGAGTGTAATTATATATTATTGTTTTTTAAAGTATTTTTTAATTTATAAATAAATTAAAATAATATTTTTTTTATTTTTTAAATAATATTATTAATACCAACACATCAAATCAAATGATATAAAAAGATAAAAGAATGTTAATTTGAAGAAAAAATAAAAAAAATTAAATTTTTTTAAAAATATTTTTAAAATATAAAAAAATTAAGACTGATTAACCCAATAATTTATTAACTCAAGATTATTTTAAATTTGAGTGATTTAATAAGTAAAGTAATGATTTAAATAACTCAATAAAATTTAAGTAAAATCCAACCGTGTCAGCATTAAGAATTTTTTTAAAAAACTATTATTTTAATATATGTAAATTACGTACTCACCCAATAATTAATTTATTAAAAAAAGGATCTAGACCCTAGATTGGGTCGGCGCCGGACCGAATCTAACAAATATAGGGCTTGTGAGAAATTACGAGATACTTGAGGAATCAACAATGCCATAAGTTTGCAGTGGTGAGGTGGCGATAGAGGTCGGTGAGGACAATGATTTAGATTCATGGACTCCAACTAAGCACCTCTAGCACCATTGCATATGAGCTAGAAAGGTTCCTTTAAAGTTGCCTAACCAGGTTTTTTTTATTTTATTTTATTTACGATATAACCCTATGCGACGTGCATGTCTTGCCAGATTTATTTTATCATAATGAGACCTAAGATAGTACTGCTTGTGTTTTTTTTTTTCTAGGCCATTCATGCATGAATGTTGTGCCTGGACCGATGCATGTTCCTGGTTTTTGTAAGAAATATCAACCTTTAACTTTTTTTAATATATATAATAACTAACACCTGTTAAGTATACATGAAATTAAAACATCAATATTTTTTAAGAAATAGTTGTGATACGCACAAGCTGGCCCGGACACCCACGTTAATAAAAAAAAAAGTATACATGAAATTAAAACATCAATATTTTTTAAGAAATAGTTGTGATACGCACAAGCTGGCCCGGACACCCACGTTAATAAAAAAAAAAGTATACATGAAATTAAAACATCAACATTTTCTCGTTTTCGGGAATCAATGTACATAAAAAAAAAAATATAGAATACTTATTAAAAGGAAGAAATATAAACGATTTTACATAGTAAAAAAGTTATGGCACTAAAAAAAATCATGCACTGATGAAAAAAACTATAAGAATATTGTTATTAAGTTCCACCTTTGTTCATCCTAATTAAAAAAAAAAAAGGTGAGCTTGGAGAATATACTGAATAGATGGTCCTATATTGTGGTTCGGTCAAATTTTATTTAATATTAAAAAATATATGTCTAGATGAATTCATTGTTTTTTTTAAAAAAATCAACGATCAGGTTGTTTATTTAAATGAATTTAATAAGTTTAATTAATTTAATAATATAATTAAAGAAAAAAGACATTGACATTAAATAAAGCAAACAAATTTTTTTGACAATAATTAATTATAAAAAATATTTTGTCAATATTATACCTAAAAAAAAAAAAGAAAAATTTGGTAGATACTCACTATCATTCTATCACAAAACATTTTCTCATCGTCAAAAAAAAAACTCACCAAGATAATTCTAAAGCCATCATAACAAAAGACTGCATGACAACATCAAAATAATTCATACATGTTATTAGAAGATTGACTTGAAAAACAAACGAAATAAAATATCATGAAATGAGTATCTCATGCTTTTATTTAATAAATTAATTTAATTTAATTCAAAAAAAAAAATTCTTTCAAGAAATCTAAATTTATGTTCAAGATCGACAAATTAAAAAACTCAAAATAACCTGAATTATTTTTTAAATTAGTAAAAATTCTATAGAAAATAAATTAAAAAAATAACAGAGTCCAATCTCCTATCAGTAAATAATGATAGATGAAACTATATAAGAAAAAATGAGCTTAAAAAGACAAAAAAAAAAAACAAATAAACTCAGAAAAATCTCCTAAACTTGGGTTAATAATCTCTCAAACTTGCAACTTAATTAAGAAACTCAATTTATAATTAATTTATTATTTAAGGATAAAATTTAAAAAAATTAAAAAAATTATCAAAAACAAAACATAGCTGTAAAAAGATTGTGGAATAAATTCAATAGGAAAAAAATTGAAGGAGAATGAAATAATAAAAACAATTATTTTTAAAAATTATCTCAAATAATAGAAATAGCAAACAAAAGAATAGAGACAAAATCTAACATATAAAAAAATTAAAATATAATAAAATTTATTTTTTAAAAATTTTATAAATTATTTCAAATAAAATAAATAAAAATCAAAAGAACATATAACAAATTAAAAAGAAAAACAAATTGAAGAGCTGATTTAAAAATTTAAAAGGTTTGGTGTTGAGACCGAGAAGGAAAGATGAAATAGAAAAAAAATAGAAAGTATTATTGATTTCAAATTAAAAATTTGTAAGCTATACGTGCCACCTGAGAGAGAGGATGCTGAAATAATTTCAGTACCTTTGTGGTAAACATTGTTTGGCCAACACACGATGCTTTATGCGCTGTCTAAAGACGTCACAAACCCTTTAAAAGTTGGTGTATTTGTTATATGCACCAATCATATTTTGTTTTTAATAGTATTTTATATTTATTAAAATATTAAATTGTTATAAAATAAACTTGATTATAAATAAAAAAAACATGATGAAAATATATATAAAAAAACTCTTTAATATCAATTTAGATTTTTTTTAATAATAAAAAGTCAATAATAACTTTAGATGCTAATTAAATAAAATTTGCTTTTAATAGTAATTTAACTATTATATTATACTCTTAAAAAAAATCAATTTCCCTCCAATCAATCTAATAATAAACTAATGAATCTCTAATATATAGTTTATTAAGTTTTTTTAAATTGGACAAAATGGTTATCACATTGTCTTGATCCACGATGCAATCTCTCTTGGTTCCATCGAAAAACTAAGCCCTGATAGGTGTTTTTATTTTTTATTTTTGTTCGGAATTATGATGTATTGATATTAAAAATAATTTTTAAAAAATAAAAAATATCATTAATATATATTTTGATATAAAAATTATTTGAAAAATAACTATAAATAAACTACAAAATAAATTTTAATTTTTTTTCAAAGTAAAAAAATAATTATTTATTCATAATCTAAGAAAAAAGACGATATGTTCATTATCGAACTAGATTTTTAATACACACAATAAAAATACTATCACACCATTAATCCAAAAATCATTTGCGATTTTTTTTTCTACATTTTTTTATAAAACGGGCTAAGCCCGACTTGATTGAAAAACCCATGCCATCCGACCCGTATCTAAAATATCGCCACTCTCTCGTCCGTTTTCCACGCGCGGGAAATGTAATCTCCCTCCTACTCTCCCTCGTAAATTCTTCCCGCTAATTTCTGTACGACCCCTAGCCTATCAGATTCCCGATCTAATTTTCTCGCGAAACAAACACAAGAAAAGAGAAGAAGGGGAAAAAAAACAGAGATAAACTTTCCTTCTCATTTTCTCGGGCTTTCCTAGTTAAATCAAACTCCAATGAATTCTCGAGAGCTTGCACTTGTCTCCACAGCCACAGTCTTCGGAGCTTTGGCTTCTGCTTTTGCTGTTCGCTTCCTCTACCTCAGCAACAGCAACTCCAGGAAGCGGTTGTTATCCAAAACCAAATCGGTTCCAAACGTTGACGTTTCGAAGAAATGCTCTATTCAGAGCCCGTTTGATCCTTCCAAACGCAAAGAGTTAGTCGAATTTCACACTTTGATTTTTTTTTTCATTTATTGAAGATTGAAGCTTTCACTGTTTAACTTTACTGTTTGAAGTGTTTTGTTTTTTATTATATGATTTGGTTTCAGGTATCTATCATGGGATGATTATTTCATGGCAATTGCGTTTTTATCAGCTCAAAGATCTAAAGACCCAAACAGGCAGGTCATGATCTTTGAATGTTTATTTTTATTTTTTCTGGTTCTTGAAATGCTTTGTTTGGTTGATACTGTAGGTGTTTGATAATATGTATTTGGTGTTGTAGGTTGGGGCATGTTTGGTTAGTCAAAATGGCATAATTCTTGGTAAGTTGAGTTTGCATGTAGTTTTCTTTACCTTTTAGTTATGAATCTTGAACTCCATTTGTTTTTTATTTCCTTCTTAAAGTGAATTGAAAATGAGAATATGAATAGTAAGGATTGATGACATCTACAGAAGTGAACTCTTAGATTCTCCTAATAAAAAATAAGAAATGGTGCAATGAGATTGGTAATTTAAATAAAATGATTTTCTTCTTTGAGATTGCGAACCAATTGCTTTTGCTTATTGTCTGGCTTCTTTTTACATCAGTGGTTCTATTCCTCTCTTAAGAAGATAAATAAATGGTAACTCTAGTTTGGTGATATATTTCTGGTAATGGTAGAACAGCAGTTATGCGGTTGTTTTTGAGTTTGATGGTGACTATAATACTCATGTACATTGTGATGTTTTCAATCATCATGTTAATCTTTGGTCAGGCATTGGCTATAATGGATTTCCAAGAGGTTGTTCAGATGACAAGCTTCCCTGGGCAAAGGTTGGTATATGATATTTACATTTATTATATCATCCAAGAACCGCATGTAATAAACTTAACCTGTCATGTTTCAGAAATCCATATCTGGGGATCCTCTGGAGACAAAGTACCCGTAAGTGCCTGTGCTTTCATTGACTCCACTTCTGACCTTGCTGCTTCATATGATACATGTTCTGCTACATGCACGCACTCACAGAGAGACATTTAGTTATCATATTTGCATTTACACTTTTTCTTGCTAATTAATTGATGTGCTAGGAAAAGCTGCTTTTTAGTGCAAGAAGTAGAATTTTTGCTCCGCCACCACTGTAAATATCATATTGTCCAGCACTCATGCTTAATTGAGATTTTGACTAAATTGCCTTTTGACTTTGCTAATATCTATATCTTCATGTTTCGAGCTAATACCTCTAATTGTCTGTTGTAGTTATGTTTGTCATGCTGAAGTCAATGCTATTCTGAACACAAATCATGCTTCTGCTGCTGGGCAGGTAAGCAATTGTCTCATTTCCTATTATATCCAATTTGTATCCCCCACCCTGAACACACACACAAACTCTTCTTCCACTATATGGTTTGACCAGAATTAAATATATGTTATCATTCTGAAACAAGTATATTTGCGTCAATATCGTGCATAATTGTTGATGCTGTTCTCTGAGTTTTCTAGTGATTATTCTTTAAAATAAAGGCTGTTTCTCACCAGTAGAACTAAGAAGTGTCTCTCCCTCTATAATTATCGCAGAGGCTTTATGTGACTATGTTCCCCTGCAATGAATGTGCCAAGCTAATCATTCAGGTTTGTTAACCACGCTTCCTTATGTTATATGCTTTACGAGTGCCTCATTGAGGATTTCCTTCTCTTTTTTGTGTACCTTGTATACATTATGAGTAGGCAAATAGATAGAATGTACTGCTTCCATTCCTCCTTTGTCAAGAAGGAGGTCACAGTTCCATTAGAGTTTGGTGGATCTGGAAAACTGAGGGACATATCTATTGTTTAAACCTGCCCTTTACAATTTTCAAACACTTCCTGTTTACAGAGTGATGTGTACTTGCTTTTGAATATCAACATATACTTGAAAGCATACTGGAAACCTGAAACATGGATGGATAAGAACATTATAATTTATGTTTTCAGTTGATTTCTTTCCAACCAGGCTGAATAAGACATTAGGTTGCAACCTGCAGTGCTCAACTATAGCTACATGATATGATCCCTGTAATTTTGACTAAATGTTTGGAATGTAACATGGATCTAGTATATGATTGGAATATGTTGATCTAAATAATTTTTCTTTTATTGCAAAAATTCAGCTCACAGAACGTAACTCTGCCATCTTGCCGGTACTTGTTTTTTAAGTTCTTGAAATGTGCCTCGTTCAAGTGTTAGTGCTGTCTTCCAATATCCTCTTCCCTTGCGTTTCATTGTTAATTTCTAAATGGATTTAGCTTGCCTTCTCTGCAGTCTGGCGTCTCTGAAGTTATATATTTTGTAGAGAAACACTTAAACAATTCAGATATTGCGTATATTGCTTCACACAAGCTGCTGTCCATGGCTGGTATTAAAGTAAGTTTTGTTGAACATAGCCCTGATGTTGCTCAGTTAATCTATCTTGAAGCTCCCGCAGAATTTAGTCTGACCAAAACATTTCTGTTTGATACATCTAATTTCTTGTTAGCTGGTACTGATAACCAGTCTTAACATGTCATCGCGAAACATGTCTCAAACTGTTTAGCGCACCAACCTCATTGAGTATATCTGTAACGCTCATGCAGGCGCACATCAACAAACTCTTCAAGCCTCCATGGATCATTTGCAGTGGCTTAGGGATGTAACTGCGTTTCATAGTCAATTTTTAATTGTTTTTGTACTTTCAATGGCAGGTCAGAAAACATCAACCCCGGATGGACCAAATTTTGATCAAGTTCGAAGATCCCTAGATAATGACTACTGCTCTTCATTTGCCAAGCCTGATTATCAGTTATAGTTATACGATCAAGCCTAGTAATGCTCCTGCTCTTCAGCTGGGCTGTTATCCCGTGCTCTTGTTTATCGAGGGGATCACCCTTTCTACTCTTGAAAGGGTTGTTGGATTTAGCTTTTACGGGTGCATCCGAATGAGATTCTTCTGTTTTTTGCGTGATACATAATTGATGTTCTTAGCCTGGGGTAAGTGAAGCTATTTGCTAAAAAAGTAAAAACTCTAAACCTGAATAAACTTGATTGGGTGATTTACGCCATGCAATTAAGTTGAAATTCTAATGCCCTTGACCTTGCGTGTGCGTGTCGAGCCAGAAATCTTTTTTGCCGCGCAGTAAATTTTGGTTTTGTTTAAAACTGAGTAAATTAGTTCGACTGGTACACAACAACGTTGGAAACATGGTCATGGTAAAAAGCGGGTACAAGGGAACAAAAGCAATGCACAGCTAAACTCCCTCATCGAAAGCTTAAAAAAAAAAAAAAACCTTATTGACCCAAGAAAGGGCTTGGTCAAATAGAATCTCTTCCTTCGCCTGACTTTGTAGTTGTATCTGCACTAAATGCTAATATTGGACCTTAATCAGTCAGCATTGAGGGCATCAAGTTGTTTCCGAAGTTCTTCAATGTCGTCAAAAGTGGCTGTAGCTGGTTCAGCAGCAGGGAATTTTTGAAACTCGTCCGCAGCTGGGAGCTCACGAGTAAGACCGTCAGGAAGAGCATCTAAAATGGACAGAAAAGATAAAAGAAAATCAACATGTTGAATAGGAGAGCACCATTTGGACAACATTGCAATACCAAAAATTTCAGATTCAGACACAATGTTAACATGGAATGGTTCTAAGACCAAACACTGGCCCTATCTACAACATGGATGTGCGTGTATTTAAATGCTCATTTTATTCTTTATTTGTCGAGGTGCAAATCTGGGTGCCCCTACAGCCAGCAATTGCCAGTAGATGGCGCTTTTCAGGGTTCATAGCCTTGGGCCTCAAGGCTAGATTGAATAAATGTAGTTTATTGAAAACTTCGCAAGGAAATTAGGACCAAATGTTGATAAGTGCAATGCTAGTTCACAATAAAAAATAACAAGGAAAATTGTGAGTCATCCAATCACATGACTAATGTGAAAGTTATTGGCAAGTTCCACCAATCTGATGGCTTGGAATTTCTTGCCATCTATTCTTGTTTTTGTAGTGTGAATAGCATTATTGCATCATAATGTCATATAGCAGTAAATATCACCTGAACTTGTGGCATCTGTCCTTTCCGGCGCACTATCATCGACAACACTGAAGAAACACCAAAGAACAACAAGTGAACATGTTGCCTAAGCTCACAGAAAAGAAAAGAAAATCACATGATAAATAAGTAATGAAGGAAAAGAACTCTTGTCAAAACATGCCTAACTTCTCTCCTAAAGCAATCGGTGGACCAAAGCACTTGCATCTGATCATATTTTAACATTATTTGAACACGAAATATGTTTCATTTACATGCTATGGACCTATATATCGTAGTATATACACCACTATATCACCCTAAGAACCACCTGATGTTCCATTCATTATCAGTATGAAGTGGGCCTTCTGGAACTGATAGTACTTCTGCCTCCATCTTGGCTATAATTGCAGCCTCCCTAGCTGGCTTTACAAGGAGGTATTCTTTCTGCACAATAAGTATGATTCTTACTATCACCAAGAAAACAAAATGTCATATTAATAGATTTTTCCAGAAAGATATCTGGTAGCAAATCAAGGCAGATCTGTTTATGATACCTGACGCTCCAGACAAGCAGCATTTGAACATTGAGGGTTCGGCCTCATTTCCATGGTTGGGAAAAAATCTTTAAGAGAATTGTAACCCTGCAACCATGCATTAAAGCCAAAACCTAACTAGATCAGTCAGGATAATCAACATGCATTTGCTAATTTGATAAGAAAACTAGGTTAGAAAAGAAACATAAAGTTCTATAACCTTGTTAAATTCAGCTTAAGGCCTAGAACGATCATTAAAAAAAAAAAAAACAAGAGAGAAAGATGGGGGAAGGGGGTTGTTAACATGAAATTTACCAGGTAAGGAGACACTTGTCCAAATTGTAGCAGTAACTTCAGCGTATTTTGCACTAAAAGCCCCGCAACAACCCCCTGAAATGCAATTCATACAACTGGATATTAAAACATGAAATAAAAATTCAAAACCACAAGCCATTAATATCCAATGCAGCAAAATAAAATCAGGTGTCATGTACCACATTATGCCTATCAGTTGACAAGGGAAAAAAAGCTTTTATGTAAAGGCACCACCAGGAGCCATTATGCCTATCCAAAAGTTTACATAATATTCCTCACAATTAGAATAACGTTCCAGCTAGACATCACTGTATCGGAGTTACTTCTAGAAATGAGATCATTTAACAAAGTTTGTGAAGGAATTACCATGGTAGTAGGTAAAGATGCTGCACAGACTCCTTCACGTTTGAGAGTACGCTCGTCTACTCCAGATGCCACAACCTAATCAAAGTGAAATCCTTTCATATTCTATAAAAAAGCAACAAAATATTGATCCCAAATTGATTTTATTTATAAAATTATGAAGCCACAATAAGAATTTAAAAAACAACTTCAGAATCTTGCATTAAGGTCACTAATCCTACACTGAAACTCCATTAATCAAAATACCCAGATAAGTAAATGAACATACAAGAGGAGGTGCACATGCAAAACAAGCAGTTTCTCCAGGAATCAACAGTTGTATGTGACCTGAGACTGCATCCTCAGATACACCTGCCAAGAAAACTCTTCATTTAATCTCATTGATGGGTGCCAAGAAGACGTGCCGAATGACATAAGGTATAAAAAGCAGATGAACTCTGCAAACAAAAAACTAGAAGCACAAGAATTTATAAGGCTCAGACTTGCAACTTCAACTCCATTTATATTTCATGCATGGAATTTAAACATATGCATTCCTGTTGCATAGGAATTAAGTGTCCTAAATATTTGTTGCTGACAAATGAGGCTTGATAGTTCAGAACAAATTGTACTAGAAATAATTCAAACTCCATTGGAAGCATCCAATGATCCAAAGGCAATTATGCAGCATGAACAGGTTATACAAATCCACCTTGTCATGTTCAACATGTTACTGCAAATCAATAGAGACAGACACCGGAGAAGCTTAAGCTTACTCTGGACTGGATCCAAAACAGAATTTTCATGGAAGCATGTATTGAAACCCTTTTATATGTCACACTGGTACACATTTGTTTATGCAAAAGCAGTTTGAGAGCACAGTGGGTGCACATAACTCTTCTGGTTATTGAATAAATCAGTATTTAAGAATGATGTTGCTTACCAGACTCCATCCATGTTTGATTCAACTCATTGCAAGCCTGCATATAAATGATAAAATTATATACGAAATCTATAATAATTAAAAGAATATTAAATTCAAAGGTGACAATAAAATACTAAATTTGAATTTTTAAAACGAACTAGAGACAAGTCAATGAAAAATAATTCGAAAATGACAAGCATCAGAACAAAAACATTACATGGTAGGTTATTGGGCTTTTACATGCCAAATCAAAACCACAAAATGGGAAATGAATACTTAATATAACAGAATTCTTTACCTGGTTAACAGCCATCCTTGCCTCATAATTATCCACACAGCTCAAAACGAGATCTACTCCACTGCCTTCTTTATTTGGGCGAAATGATTTATTTCTTAAACTTGACATAAAGGTTTCAAATCCTTGCACTGTCGTGATGTTCAATGTGAAGCTCTGAACAATAAAGAACCAATCAGTATACAGTAATAATAGGAATATAATCAATTACTCTTTCTTCTGTTATCATTTTCAGAGAGCTCAGATGCAAAATTAATCAAAGCCGGGCACTTGAATGGCCAAAATGCAAATTATCAGAAGAAATGAAGCAACACACTACCAGATTATATAGCTAGATAATAAATGTTTACCCTATATTTCTCCTTTCCACTGTGCCAAGTCCCTATATCTATGACCAATGACACCCCCGGCCCCATCCCGCACACAAGAATAGAAGAAAAACAAAAACAGAGCTTTTGCATGTGCAAAACAAGACAAGGAACAACTTTTTGAAGACACTCACCTCAAGGACGACATCAGGATTGATGTCTGAAAGGGTCTGACTGGCAGCATCAGTCTTTGTCATGCCAACCTATGAATGCAAAAGTTTTTTTCTAAATAACGAGTACAAACATGATTTTTCATACAATTTCAAACAAATATATTAATCAGCACATTTAACTTGAGTAAAGAAAAGAACTTCCTCATATGATAAAAAAGAAAGAAAAATGTTTAATAATTTTGTTGAAAAGCAAGTTGTTTCCACAAAGTTTACAATAAGAAAGAAGCGAGTGAAAGTGAAAAACCTGTTCCGGACGGAAGAAAAGCCTATTCATGTTAGCTAACTCCACTTTGTCATAATCATACAACAAAAGACGACCTATGCCACACCTTGTTAACATCTCAGCCGCAACACTGCCAACACCACCAATTCCCTGTGATAGTATGAAAACAAACAAAAAATTGAACATAAGGTATATCAACACAAAACGTCTGTTACATATATTTGTTGCACTTGATGAGTTAAAAAACCATAGAATGCATGCTCTACTTATTGGGGTGGCAGATCATCATAGTGTACGAGCGGCATTTTACAATTTCAATGTCGAATTAAATCCTAAAAGGGTAAAAGAAAGTGGAAGAGGAGATAAATACAGACAACAATGGCAACAGAGAAGTCCCGAATGCGCTCATAATTGTCCACAATACCCATCCTCTGAAGTGCCATTAGCCTACTATATGGATTACTATCTACCACCTCCGCGCTCATATCCTGCCACCACCAACAACAAAAAAAAAATAAATCACAATCCTATATACTAACCACCAACTCAAAAACTCCTCAAGAAAGATAAAATTAAATAAAAAAACCTGAACTTTCGTACGCCGAACAGGTGCAGACTTTGCCAGCTTCGTGAGATGCTCAACACGCGATTGCAGCTTCATAAAATAAAATAAAAGGTAAAAATCAATTAGCAACAGGGTAGGTTTTGATTCATAAAAACTGATCAAAGAATAGGAGGACGTAGATAAATAGAAAGAAATCAAGCAAAATTCCATTACCTTAAGAATTGAAGAAGCAAGATTTGAGGGATCAGGCAGTGATTGCTTGAGAGAATCAAGATCGTTAAGCATCTCTTTCAATTCCGCCTCCATTGCTACTGCGAGTCGCTTTCTCTCTTCTCCCTCTGGAGCTAAAATGTTACTCCCTGTTGTAATCTAATTTCCTTCTTTGCAAGCGTTTCTTTTTGCAACTTTTTCCTGCTGTTTTTTTTTCTCTTTACAAGCTGGATATCATGGGCTTTTGAGTTTAGATTAAATCCCAAACCCAATAGCGATAGAATCAAATTGTGGCCCAACTCTTGATATGGATTTGTAATGAACTGGATGGTGTTGTTGATCAAGGACCTTACTTCTTATGATAAGCTTTAGGAACACCAAGCTCTCTCTCAACAATAAAGGACTTTTCTAATGATTATATACTAATTCTTTATTTAATTTAATATTAGATAAAAATATTTTATCAAATATGTAAATTTTAATTATTCTGGAGCTTTATTTTAAATATTAAATCAATAAGAATTAAAAACAATTGATCAAAATTAAGTATCATTGATTTTTTGAAACTGATAAGGGCATGGAAGAGTAAATGATGAGTTAATTATAAGTAATTAGATGGGGAATCTGCCAATAAATATTGATAGTGTGATTTGATCAATAACAATTTTTCTTATAGTATTTGTTTTTTCTTGTGACATAGCATATTTATTCACTTTTTATAGAAAATAATATTTTAGCTAAATTTAAAATAACTTGATGTTGTGTGAACTTGGGCATTAAATTAAAAAAAAAAATAAACGAGCTAAGCGATTGGCTATTTTATGTGTATTTGAGAGTATGGTTGTGATTATTTTTTAAAGTACTTTTCACTTAAAAATACATATCAAGATAATATTTTTTTATTTTTAAAAATTATTTTTCATATCAGCACATCAAAATGATCTAAAAACTAAAACAATAATTTAAAAAAATTAATTTTTCTAAAAAATATAAGTTAAACCATGTTTCCAAACAATCATTTAATATAATCTCTTTTTCAATTATATCGTGGAGTTGTAAAATATATATTTTTTATTTAATTATTTTATATTTATTTTATTTGAGATTGAGTGAGTTTTAACGAGCTAGATGTGGTTACTCACGGAGTAAAAAAAAAATCTCATTATTTAATTGATATTTAATTTTAAAAAAATTGTTTAGAATTTTTGTTGCTGAAGAGTTTGAGAAAAAATGGAGTACAGTTGAAGCGTAGGAAAAAAGTATAGCTCCTTTTATCCTTGAAGGGGACGAGCATATAAATCAAGCGTGAAAAGTTCCAAGAGGAAAAAAAATACAGGGAAGGAAAGAAGATAAAAATAGGTTGTTAAAGCCTCACCAACGCTACATCATCGCTACACGCCGTCATAAAAGTAACCCCCTATGAGAAGATTCCAACGGTACTAAAAAAACCATTATCGAAGATTGTAGGAGCGCATGGACCTCCCTAATGCGTCGCCTTCTCTCTCGCACTAGCATATGTTATACATGTCATGAACTTTTTACACTCCTTGTTCAATTTAATTTAGATTTTTAATTTTTTAATAATTCTTCAATTCTTTCATACATCCATTCAAGGTTAATGAAAACCTAATAGAAAAAAAAAACATAGAAAAAAAACAACTAAATTAAACCCACTCATTGTGGTTTTGTTAATAATTTATGTTGTGAATATAAAAGGTTAATTTAATATATTGTGAATATAAAAAGTTAACTCAAGTTAATTTAATATGTTGTTATTTTAATATTAAAATATTAAATATCATGTTGACTTTTTTTAAATCAAATTATGTTTTACTAATCATCTAAGATGTATTTGAACTCACTAAATCAACCAACTTATATTAAAGTGATTCTCAAATAATTTAATTTCAAATTTAATTTATAAAAAGAATCAAGTTAGGAACTTTCAAGATTGGTTCTCTGAGTCAAATTTAATAACACTATAAAAAGAGTTTTTCATGGCCAAAACATTTTTGAATAAGTTAAAAAAATATTATTTAAAATCTTAAAAAACAAAAAATAAAATTTGACCAACATCATCTTAAAAAAAATTCAATTTATAAAAAGAATCCAGTCAAGAAGTTTCAGGATTGGTCCACTAAGTCAAATTTAATAACACTATAAAAAGAGTTTTTCACGACCAATTTTTTTTTTAAATAAGTTAAAAAAAATATTATTTAAAATCTTAAAAAACAAAAAATAAAGTTTTACTAACATCATCTTAAAAAAAAATCAATTGGATCAGGTTTCAATCTATTAAAATTGATATGTTATGATTTTATGCCTGCATGCTGTTAAAAAAAAACTCATGAGATGTTCTTGACATCTTATATTCATAAGAGAACTAATGGAGACTAAATTACCAAGGCATTAATATTTAATTGTTGGACTAGTTTCTATTATTATCGAATTTCTTTTCCAGCAATCTCTTGTTGAAAAAAATAAAAATTGAGGTAAGTATATTCATTTATCGCTTGAAACAACACTTCAAAATAAAAAGAAAGAGAGAAATCATATTAAAATAAAATAAATCTTATATGATTAATGATAATACGATGAGATGTAAATTTTAAATGGTAAATAATTTAATAGAAATAAAGATTTTATCGTCATAAATTTTTTGTTTTATTTTATTTTTATATATCATTGCTCCTTTATTAGTAATTAATTTTATAACAATGGGTCTCCCTCGAAATGATTTTTTATATTGTATAGTCATCACTAAAGACTTGAATTGTCGCTCATTTCTCCTCAGATACATCATAGAAATCTAGAAAGTTAATATTTCCTATAATATATAACTAATAATAGACACAGAAAATAAATTGCAAATTAATGATTCTCCTTTTAATTTTTCATGATTAGTAATTAAGATGGAATCAATATCATATCTCATATTTCAACATCAACATCGTTGTTATGCCTTTACCCACTTTCCATTTTATTTGATTATAGAATATACAAACAAACCTTAAACACATCAAAAACTAATCTAGGCTATTAAAAATTTATTTATTTTTGTGTTTTAAAAATGTTTTTTAAAAAATTTAAAAAACTTTAATTTTTATTTTTGCTTTAAATTAATATTTTTTAATATTTTTAATATATTGATATTAAAAATAATTTTTTAAAAATTAAAAATAAATATTTTGATACATTTCTGATAAAAATATTTTGAAAAGTCATCATTACTATTCATCAGAGGATGTCACACATTCTCTGCAAAATCAATCCAAGCTTAATACTCTAATAAAGATGGATGATTTGATTTATCAAATTTAATGTGAATTTGACATTGCAGTATAGAGTATTTTTTAAAAATAATTTTTACTTAAAAACTTATTAAAATAATTTTTAAAAAAAATATTTTATTTTTTATACTAACAGATTAAATTTATTAAAAAACACTAAAAAAATAATATTGAAGCCAACACATTTTTAAAATTCACTGACAATAACAAATAGAAACAAATGGTGTGTCTTAATCACTTAACTTTATAGCCATACCGAAGGAATCCATGAAGAAGTGATGACTCCTCCAAGTCACAACATCCATGAAAAGTTTAATGAAAACTTACACCATGTTTTAACAAGAAAGATCAAAAAGAATGATCCAAATGCAAGAGACGCGTAAGAGAAGCCATGGAAGGTTGGATAAGGTTGAAACTAGAAAGTAGAAAGTATGCTCATCATAAAATGAGAGGCTCGAGAATGGCCCATGTGGTGGAGCCTCGAGGACATCCACCACACCAAACATTTATTAAAACAATTTACATTATGATTTATATACATCTTTATTTTTCCATTATACAGACTTTCGACCTTATCCCAGTTCTCTGTAGCCTGCACGAAACGTGTGATAAAATAAAAAAAATATTCAGTGGGGCCATTGAAGAAGAGAAATTCAAAATCCCATCATGATATGCTACTATATATCACTATACTCACACCACAGGACAAAGAAATTCTGGAAATAAAGAGTTTGATACGCCACCCACCACCCTTCACAGACATGGTAGGTGTATTGACATATGCAACTCAAATTCAAAGAAAAAGTTTGGAGGAGATAAACAAGTTTTCTTCTTGATTAAACATGATTGGATTAACTTGCTATCAACATGTTTTATATGCCCAGTTCTTTAAGGTTGGTAAGTCAAAGTTAACTGGGGTTAGGGTCATGCATGATTAGAAACTGTTTTCAAGACAGATTAATAAGTTGAATTATTGATCTCCAGAATTTATAAATCAAACTTTCTCCTTTTTTTTTTCAATTTCAAGACCCTAATTTTAGGGTTTGATGAACTTTGATTCTTCTTTACACTGTTATACTTTGTGTCGACATAGATAAGAAGGAAAGAAAGCGATAACTTACAGTTCATCAATAGCAAAACCATTAACTGAGAAAAATAGGTCAAAACATCAACATTTTAACGTGCCCACTCAAGAAACCTTAATTGAGCATGGATCTTACAAGTAAATTAATTTCAGGAGAATCAAAGTCTTAGGATTATAACACAAGATGAGCTATTGTTTAAGATATAAAGAAATCCATGTAATATACAGGTGTGCCACGCCATTAGACACATACATAGGCGGGTCTATATATAAGGCTTGGTTGTGCTGGAGGCCGGGTGAAGATTTTACTAATACCTTTTTATACTAATATTATAATATTATAATAAGATAAGGTATATTTAACTAAATTAATTAAAAAAAATACATTTTATTTATAAAATTAGCTATTTTTTATTTTTTATTTTTTGTAAGTTACGAGACTCAAAGTTGAAAATTATATCCTCTTATGCTAGATTATTTATGCATTATTTGAGAACATAGTACAAACCGTGTTTCATTTTTTTTAAATTTTTTTAATAAAAATAATTTTTTATATGTTTATATTGTTTTGGTGCATTAATGTTAAAAATAATTTTTTAAAAATTAAAAAAATATTTTGAAACATTTCTAAACGAAAAACATTTTAAATCATCACTACTACTTCAATTCCAAATAAATCCTAATTGTTTATTTATATATTCAACTCATATGAATAAAAAATATATTATTTAATATCTTAATTAGAGTGTTATAAGATTAATGTAATTTATCTTGAGAGCTTTTAAAATATATTTATTATTTTTAAATTATATTGAGGATTAATCAA